GACATCTGTTGCGATGGTTTAATTATGGGCGATGATGATGCCAACACTGCGAAATCGTGCACGGATTGGGGCATTCTGAATGAAGTACGTGGCGAAAGTGATTTTGAGGAATCGGATTGCGAGAACGACGAAACTTTGGAGCCAGTGCCTCATGCAGCTTATGCCACGGGCCTCAGCGGACGAGCACCCTGTCGTTTTAAATGAACTCGAGACCACCCTTATCGCTTCTGCTCTTCGAAACGCGTGCATCACGGACTTTTTGGGGCATGAAAAGTTTGTGTTTTCACTCGCAACTTTTTTTTAAAAGCTGTGTTTCGTTTATTACGAACTTCGGTATACAGCGAACGGATTCTGCGTCACGCTCAGGTTCGGTATAAGCGGGCTCAACTGACAGTTTTTTTTAATCAAAGCAGTGAAGGAATTTAACTTGTTGCAAACATATTGTACATGCTTATTCCATGACAATATTTCTGTAAAAATAACACCAAAAGCTTTAATCTCGTTTACAATACTAATTGTCGTTATCAAGATACAAGTTTTTGTAAGTTCAGTGACTGTGTGTTGAGTACGGAAAAATATGGCTTGTGTCTTTTGTGCTAATTCTCAAAAGCATTTTTTTTTTTTATCACGCTCATGCTTCAGCAAGCGCATCATTGGCCAAGGATACCAACCCATTCGGTTGTATTCCTCTGAAAAAAAAAAGAGCTGTATCATTGGCGTAACCTACCCACTTACAATTTGTAGCAGATGAGAAATTGTCATTAATGTAGACGATAAATAGAAGTGGTCCGAGTGTACTTCCTTGGGGGACCCCTGTCTTAAGGCGTTTTGTGTTGGAATTAAAGGCTTCATTCGTGACAAACTGACTTCTATGCTGGAGGTATGAACAAAGAAGATCATTGGTTCGCCACGCACGCCATAGTGCTAGCTTATACTGTAGTATATTATGTGGCACACAATCGAAAGCTTTTGAGATGTCAATATAGATGCTAAGTACTGCATTTTTGTCTTCAAATGCTTCTATTATGAATTCTTTTTGGGCTAGCAGTGCTTCCTTTGTAGATTTCTCTTTCAGAAAATTGTACTGGGCCAATGAAGTAAGAGTGTTTGTTCAGAAAGCAAAAAAGATTTGCATGCACAATCTTTTTTATGCCTTTTCATAAGACTAGAGGCATGGAAATAGGTCTAAAGTTACCCACATTATTTTTGTCGCCCCCTTTGTGAATGGCAATAACCCTTGCAATTTGCATTTTTTCCGGAAAATAGCCGCTTTCAAGCACTGAATTGTACAGTGTCGTCAGAACGGGAACAATGATGTCAATGATGTGCTGATAGGGCGAACTTGCATCATGTCGTTAGGATCAAGTGATCTTGTAGTTTTTAAGCCCTTGAATACATTGATAACCTCACTCTCCGTTGTGGGGAAGAACACCATGCTGGAATGTAATGCGCTAGTGCCATGAATAGGATATGGTGAAACGTTGTATGCATTAGACTGGCCTACCGCAATGAAATGATCATTGAGTGCATTTGATAAGTCTGAACCAATTTTTGTCAGACCATTTATACAAAGGCTTGAAATTGCATGGTCTGTCGTAGGATGAATTATGTTGTTTAGTCATTTCCACAGCAGATCAGTGTTTTACGCTACAGAGAAATGCTTGTTAAAGTATTCTTTCTTTGCTTTTCTTAGCATATCATTCAGACGATTTCAGAATAATTTGAAATTCTTCCACCATTCAGGGTTTCTAGTCTTGATAAAATCCCAATAGAGATTGTTTTTCAACTTGATTTGGCTGCGAAGGTAATTGGTTAGCCATGGTTTTCACGATTTTTTACCTACATGTCTGACAACGAATGAGAAATGTTTGTTGTACATTGTCTTTAGTTCAGCAATGAGTCTCGTACATGGAAATTGAGTCATGTTGTTTGAGAACGAAGTGCCAGTTATGAGCTTTGACTTCGTTACGGAAGGCATCCAGAGATACGCTGTCTAATTCTTATTTAATTCTTGAAAACGCTGCAATGGCTTAGAGTATTGCTTAGCTGTCGCTTCATTTTCGATTATAGTAAAGATGGGAAGATGGTCACTTAGGTCGCTTGCAATTAGACAGCCACAGAAAATCTTTTTATCACTGTTATTGATGAAGAGATCGATAAGGGTATTGGATGTCTGAGTAATGCGGGTAGAATGTTTTATAGTATTGACAAATCCATTTGATTGCAATAGTTCTGACAGCTTAGTCTGAGCCCTTGAAGTGTTCAACGTGTCTATATTAAAATCACCACAAAGAAAAACCGTATATTTGTTGGCTCGAATGAAGTCGAAATATTCTTCAAGAAAACTGAGAAGTGTGAATATCGGTGTCAGGTGGGCGGTAGGCAACACAAAATATATTGGATCGGCTAAGCACCCTTAGAACTTCAAAGTTATTGCTAGAAACAGAACATTCTTTGACAATGACGACGTTTCTTTTTGACAATGACGAAAAAGAAAAAATTTAAGTACTAAGGGCTTAGAAGCACAAAAAAATTGTGCTTACCTGCGAAATGACAGTATGTCGATTAGTGTGTGCACCGTTGACGCACTGCTGCCGAACAAAGTGTTGCTGATGCTTGAACATGCGACATTCTTGCCACGTGTAGAGCAGCAGCACCGCTTGATGTCACCTTCCTGTGGCGGACGGTGATAGCAGGCTTGAAACATGCTTGAAAGATATTCGTCCCACTGCGAAATGAGAGTATGTCGATTAGTCTCTGCACCATTGAGGCACTGCTGCCAAACAAAGATGAAACTTTATAGTTTCATTAACTGTGCTTTACATCTGATAATTAGTTAGTTCACATCTTTTCCAGTGAAGAATATAGTGCTATCATCTGCATATATAAAGAAATCAACTGTGGGGTTTATACTCACTAAGTCAATAATATGTAAGTTAAATTTTATTTTTAATAAGTTTATATTTTATTATTTAAGTAAGCCCACAAAATAATTTTTGAAATATTCTGGGTATATTGTCTTACTAACAACTTTTACAAAAAGCCAATTACGAAAATCTTTATGATGTGCACACAAACATGGACAGCATCATGGCACTCACCAATGTCTCAGAATCTAAGAGCAGGAAACATGAATGGCGATATCTTCATCTTTTGCGGAGTGGCACAGGGATGGCTGACAGCAGCTACTCAAAAGATGAAAGCTGAGAAAATGGAGCGAGCTTAAGGAAATCGCAGCTAGAAGCTTTAAAAAAAAGGGAACTCGAAGGCAACTGGGTTTTATTTTTCATTGGAGAAATGCAGCTTTGTGGCTGTCTTGAGCTCCAATCTGTCTTCTTTATGATGATGACAATATGATGGCATTACGCTGAGGGAAAGCTACATATTCGCATTTTCTAAAGCCCAGTTTTCTTATAGCTTTTGATGACAGCCCACTAGTAAAATGCTTCTTTTTTTAACTTGTACTGCTTATTTTGGTCTAATCTTTCACCACGATGTAAAGCATCGTCTCAGAATTACAGAAAAGAATTGAAAAATTGAGCGTTTTGACCAAATTTACCATTTCCATTGCCACGTCCCCCCTCAGCTATGCAGTTTGCGATGCTCAAGTCAACCTGTGATTGTGTTCATCTGCTTTCGTGTAAACGGAGTGGTTGATTTCAAGTACATAGAATGATTTCTCAAGGGCAGAGTGAGTGATTGCTAGTGCATTTTGAAACTTAATTGAAACTTAACTGACCCTGTCGCATGCTACACTATATTGTTTGGCTCACATGTTCATTGGGGCCTTACTTACGAATCGAGAGCATTTTCTGACCACATTCAAAAAGTGTCACCGGGCCCCTCTAATTTGGAGATTGCTGCAAAATTTGCTTTAGAGATTGCTCAAGATTCTTTTATCCTGCGGTCGATATATTCGCATACAATGCCAGTTGCGACAATGAAGATTTCGTGGCGACGTCGAACATGCGATATTTGCTATGATATCGAGCGTCTTGCAGGTGTTAATCTCAGTGACTAAATAAGTACATACATTGAACAAAAGAGCGACGCATTGATGCTTGCTGAAGAACTTTCCTGGTAGGTGCCTGGCTGAGTCCTGCTGAATGTGTGAATGGTTTTATTCGTACCCTACGTTTTTGGATCGATTTGATACAACTACACATTCAGATACAACTTGACGTCATCAAGAGGTGCCTTTGTACACGGTATTGCTTGATGCGAGCTTGCATAAGTTCTGGAAGTAAAAAAGAGGCAATATTATCTCTGTGATCTGAACACCCTGTGTTTCTCGTCAGTTGTCTGTGTCTGCTGCATCTGTGTAATCCTAGTAAATAATAAATGTATATGCCACAAAATATTTCCGTTTAGCACAAACTGTTTGCAGCAAGGTGACTAGAAATGTTGCTGTGATCCACAAACGATTGTGTTACTCTTTAACCTACGCTTTATCCGCCGCAGTGGTCAAGTGCTTATGATGCTTGAAAGGTTGTGAAACTGAATCCCGGCCGCGGTGGCCGCATTTCGATGGAGGCCGAATGCTGAAGGCCGATCCGCTTAGATTTAGGTTCACGGAATGCCAGATGGTGGAAGTTTCCAGAATGATTCACTGAGGCATTTCTCATAATCACATCGTAGTTTTGAGGTGCAACAGCTCAAAGTTATTTTTTTTTTGTCTCTGTTCCATCTGTCTATTTGTAAATAAAGTGCATATGCACACAACAAAAATTGAGAACACGCACAAGTGATAAGAATGCAAGATGACAAACTTTAGAACAACTAACAGCAGAGTAAAGATTCATAATTACGGAACGGTGCCACGAAGTTAGAAGAAAATGTGAGGAAGCACACGACACACGTTTTCTCCCTGCTTCGAGATGCTATTTGCTAACTATGTAAATAACTGAGCATGTTTTCTTTTGCGTCGGGTGAGTGGAGTTATTCTCTACTCGGTAGGTTTCTGCCATTCTCACTTGATGCTTTGAAAAACGCTCCCTCAGGTTCATCCACATCGTGGGAGCCGGAAGCGTCGCTGGCGTCGCGGTTCGAACTTCCCCGATCGCAAGAGGCCCAGGAAGCCGAGACTCAAAAGGAGAAACAATGGGAGGAGCACTTTGCGGAGTATGGACGGTGCGTGCCACTTGGTTTCTGAAGTGCCTTTGCTGAAATTGAGGTCTTGTCTTGTTCATGGGTAGGCCTGTATAGACGTTTAAGTGCTTCAAACATTTCAAAGAATACCACAGTTGTATTTGAATTGCCTTCAGCACAAACGTGCAATTTAGAAAATTTCAAAGTATTTGAAAGAAATGGCTAGACATACTGTGCAGTGGGTAAACCACCTGAAAACGGCGGTAAAGGTGGTTCCACCAGAGTGTACTAAAATAGGAGAGTCAGTCCACTGGAGCAGGCGGCAAGCATTGCGGGTGTAGCAAAAAGTGCTGAAAATTCGCGGTGGCATTGCAGTCGCCTTCAGCTGAAGCTTTGGTTGATCCGAGCTCTTGGGCTGATGGAGCAGCACCCATGGTAGGGTGGCTAGAATGGCGAGGTGTGAGAAGCGGCTGCCGAAACCGGTCCCCAAAGCGCGCCGTTGCCGCTTGGGGCGCTGCAGGCACCGGCGCGGGTAACTTTGCGGAGGAGACAAACGAGACGGCGCGCGCTGCTCTCCACGAAAATTGCTCTCATGCTGTGTGTTGGTGACCTGTTTTTGGTAAAATCATTTTGATCGAACAAGTGTAGGGCAGTACATAGCACTTAAGCCCTTTAAAGTCTCATCTCTGGAAACCATTCTTGAAAAGGCCCACAAGCAAGACAAGACGCCAGCTTAACTCCGGGGATTTTTCGGCCATGTCAAGGTAATGGTGTTTCTATGTTCCTGAGATACTCATGTCACGAGACCAATAGCTGAAATGCTCAGGAGATTCGCAAATGATTTTAATAAGCAAAACGATGCGAAACTGAAACCCGACCGGGTGCCCTTTCTGCGTATGACGTACTATTTGGTAAGAACTGGAGGCCGTATACTGGTCCCGCCAGCGCGTAGAATAAAAACTGTGAAAGCCAGATGAGTGAAGCACCGGCCAAACACCACCCAGGAAGGAAGAAAGCTTCCCTCTGCAATACCCCTGCCAGACACCTCCGCCGTCGCCTTGTGGCCATCACAATAAACGCTAGCGGCCAAAGTAGCGTTGGCATCAGCTGCGTCACTTCCGTTGACATGCCAAACATGTCGCCACCCAGACATTGTTACCAATAATGCTGGCAAGCGAAGTGAGCTTTGCGAGGAAATCTTTGAAATTAATTTGCAAAAAATCAGCACACCTCTCAAGTCTATAAATTGGTATAAATGACGGAAATCTGGAAAAGAACGTACCCAGTGAATTTCATTGACATCGACTGACCTCAAAAAATCGCCGGAGTTGGCCTGTAATAATATTGCGGTTATTCACGGCGGAGCTGCAGGTGTGCCGAGAGATGCTAATCACAATAAGGCTTCATAATAATTTGAACACACTAAATGCGTTCAATCATGAGTGAAAACTTTAATATAAGAGCCCCGTTTCGCTGTTCCGAATGCATAATCTTGCGCAAGCTGCAACTTTACTCACTTTGCGTTCATTATCGGCCACCGAATGTAACAGTTTTAGTGGCGTACAGTTGCTCATTCTCAGATTTAGGTGCATGTTAAAGAACCCCAGGTGATCGGAATTTCCGGAGTCCTCCACTACGGTTTAATATATGCAATTTTAAATAATCGAAATTGTCCCATTAGATGCTTCGCTCAGCTCATTCACTTTCCTGAATAGTAGATCTCCTGGAATTTTCGTCACTCTACTTATTGACTTTTTCTTTTCATGTTCATGCCACGTCATGATACATATGTATTCCCTCGCTTTCTATTTGCGGAGCTTTGTTTCACAACTTTTGTATTCGTACTTAATGTCATTTTATAATTGTAAAGTTCATTTTTTATTCTACATGTATGAATATCTGTCGTGTATTGTTGCTTTGCCAACTTGTGGCTGGGTCGGTACTTTGTCAATCCCTCGAGATTTTAGTCCCGTGCTCCCCGATCTATTGAAAGAAAAGAAATAAAGTCTCTCAACAAGACAACTATAGCTAATTTACTTGAATTAAACTAGGAAATTTAGCACAAGATGCCAGACGTATAACACAGTGGCGTAATGTGCACCGAAGAGTTGCATGTGATGGTCTTATAATGTCGTGGCACATGGTAATTCCGTTTTTCATAGTCACAGAAAGCCGAAATATTATTTCACCGTCAACCCTCTCCGAAAAGATATCACTGAGCTAAAAAAATTACAGTAATCTGGCAGCTTGCATCTGCTAGCAGACCATAATCACAGGTTTTTGCAGTGTAAATCATTTTTACCCCCTTAACCTACACAGGGCCCGCTAGAATTGCAACTGTTTATGGAGATGTGAGCCTTGCTTTTCCAGGTACCTGTACTATCAGCAGAAGCAAATTTTATTTTGGAAACAGAACTGATAAATAGCGCTACCATGTTGTAGGAACGACTGGCGGACAACTACAACTCGCACAATTTAAACAGCAGCTCTATTTCTTCATGTATAACGAGTGCGTCAAATACTAAGGTAATTGCCAAAGTAACGTGCTATACCAGTAACGGTGTTATTCATAACGCGTAGCCACCAACACTAGAAACAAGGCGGGCGTTCTTGCACTCATCACGATTATTACAAAGTACCAGATTTCTCACAGCGTAGCTTGCCGCATAATATACAGGCTGACCATCCCCCGCCGCCCAGCGTTGTACAATTCATGGGTGACAGACACTGTTAGTGCATCAGATGTAAGTCTTTCGTAGTCTTCTTCATTTTATTCCATCTCATGCAGCATTTTTTTCTACAGACAGAGAGACTCCTCCTCTAAGTGATCCACGTTGTCACCCTTGGGATTCTTCAAGAGGCTGAGCTGGAGCATTAGGTTTTGCAGACAAGCATAATGAAGCGACACTGGATCTACCTTTTTTTGTTGTTGTTGACACCTTCAGGCATTTCAGAGAAACCCCTCGCAATCACCGATTGACGAAGTACTTGTAAAGCAGCTACCGCCTGTGAAAAAAAAAGCAGCGCATCCGAGGAAAACCCTGCGAAGTGCGCCGCTCACTACCCACGCCGCTGCCATTAGTGCCCCTAGAGCATCGGCGCGCCAAAGAGCCTTCTCCGGCCAGCGAAAAGCGCCGCGCTCATCACACCTCCCCAACCTACCCATGGTGACTGCGAGAGCGCTGAGGTGTTGTCTGCTCGGTGCGACATTGTCTGCTTGACGTATGGCCGCTCGCCCGTTATGTTTACCATTTGTTTGCAAGGTACTTTCGACCTGGTTAGTGCTAAAAAAAAAAAGAATCGACCGTAGTGAAGTTAGCCTTGCTGCTATTAGGCATGAGCAGGGTGTTTAGGGAAATTAACGAAGGGCCTCCCGTTAGTTGAATTATTTGAGAGACTTAGTCTGACGCCGTCCACACGGCGACGGTGAAGCCGCCGCCTGCCTCCACGCATGGTCGCAACCATGGCAACATCAACAGTAACCGTGGTAACCGTCAGGGGAAGGCGACCGTGAGGTTCCCTGGATTTTCACAAAAAAAAAAAACGTCTCAGCGCGGAGCCCCATGTGGATCCACTCCTCCATTCTAGTACACTCTAGTTCCACTGCCACTACACTGCTAGTGTAGAACCATTATGCCATGAAGTTGCCTATTCACTGAAAATCTGGCCTGCTTCAAAATCATATTCATTGTAGGTATTACCTTCACCCCGACAAAGGGTTGTTTTCTTGTTTTTTTAAGTTGAAAGTTTTTCAAGTTTACATCGGTTTATATGGCTAATGGGGCAAACTTTAAAATCTAGCATATTTTACAGCTTATAAGTGATTTTACTACGAGCTGGTAGCTTACCACCCTACTACTGTTGAATTAGGCCTTATTCGAACTCACTTTGTTAATAATTGATAATAAGTACAAATTTCTTTGACTTAACTTCAAGCCGTACAGTGATGTTTGCCTACTCTTAGGTTGTGCAAGCTATTTCTCACTGTCATAATGATAATTTTCTGAAGCCACACTTTCTTTGTGAGGCCTTCTATATTTTCCTCACTGCGCCTGCCACTGATGCTGCTGCTTATCTCACTTCACAAAACGTGTTGCTGCACTGGTCGGTTCAATCTAGTGAAGTAAAAACAATGCAAACGTCTCACAGCCCTAGAAGATAAGTGCAGGCCAGGTGCTTTTACAGAGCCGTCAGTGTTAGTGCATATCCTCTTCTGTATCTTGGGTGAAAATACTCGTGCTGTCTTATACTTTAATACATTGCCTGGCCTATTTAGATACACTGCCACCGTGTCATCCTTCTAGCTGGGCCACACTTTTTGCAAGACTTGAGCTGTAGCTTTTGTTGCGATTCATTATCTCACCAGAAACGGTGAAGTATCGCAGCGCGAGCATCATTCATATTGAATAACGCGTCCGATGCTCTACCAACTGAGCTATAGCGGTGGTTATCTTTCCTGTTTCCCTTTATAAGGTATATATGCACACTGTCGTCCTTTATGAAAGGGAACACGCGAATGCATGGCCTGCGCTCTGCGGCGGCTGCCTACAGCACCATAAACCTACAGCAAAAGAAAACATGTTTGCTTTCAGCATCATTTATTGCGAAAAAAATAATAATAATGAGTTATGGTCGGTAGACAAGCGCTGCTAATTGCACTCCCTCTCTGCTCAAGCCTGCGGTGCGTAGTCCACTGCGAACATATTAAATGTTGTGTGCGACCACGGCGCATGCTGCAGTAATCGCCCAATATTGCTCGCCTGTGTGAGCGATGAGGGAACGTAATCTAGCAGCGCTTGTCTACCGGCCACGACTCGTTATCTTGCTTGGCCATAGATGAGGCCAAAAGCGAACGTGCTTTCTTTACTTGTTGGTTGATGGTGCTGTAGGCAGCTGCCGCAGAGCGCAGGCCACGCGTTCGCGTGTTCCCTTTCATAATGGACGACAGTGTACATTTTAAACGTGGGAGTGTCAGTCAGCATCGTCAGTAGCCATGACGTAGAGTGCGGAACTTTCTTTTTTTGCCTGTTGACGTAACCTCGCACGTGATCGTATTATGAGCTGGTACCTGGTCGATCGGACGCCTTATGTGAAGGTTGCAGGTTTGGTCCCCGCCAGCGGCAAGCTTTTTATCCAAGGTTTTTTTTTCCACATTTACATTACACTTACTACTAACAACATCCCCCGTACTTTCCTTGGCATCATTGTCTGTTACTTCTAATTAATATTGCTGTGGCAATAGTTACCTGTGACTGTGGCTACATTAATTATTTTATCCCCGCTTATTGCTTTTATAACATTTCGGCCACAAGTACTGGTATTTTAAATATATGTCGCGAATCTTACTTTGTGTTCAATAACCGTCTACTGCTTCACTATGTTTCTTGTAACTTAAAGTAAATATTGTATGCACGGTATGTTTAATAATATAGTAAAATCTCGATGATACGAATTCGAAGGTAGCGCATAAAATATTTGTATTAGCCCGAATTCGTACGAAACAAAAACAATTTAAAACTATAAAAATGATAAACAAGAACTTCATTGGCAACCATACCTTGCTAAAAAAAGTCTGTGATGTTCTTTTGAACTTTCCTGTCTTCACCGTCTCTTAATTAAGTGCCCCGGTTTCCTCGCTCATGCTACTGGCGCAGTGTGTTCACAGTTGACATCAGAGTGAGCGAAAGCAGTCAAACTCATTGGAAATTCACTCGCTTCCCTGCTTAAGCAGCCAGAAAACCGCGCCGCGAAGTCAACACGGAAAAAAAATGAGTCCTGGAGAATTCGCATTGGAGAATTCAAGTGAAAATGCCAGCGCGGCCACAGAAAACATGTCTGCGCCTGCCGAAAACGTTCACATTCGTTCTGCCGCTGGTATACATGCTACCTCCGCCACCGCCTTCGCCGCTTGAGAATTTATTCCATTTTGCCCGTTTCCTGAGCACTGAAGTTCATACCGAGTTATAATTATGCTTACAAGGCACTGAAAAGAAACAGTTTACACCTTTACTAGTGTTATTTCAGAAGACACGCCAGCCGAAATTACACGAGCGGACACAGCGGCACCGACGAATTCAGCCGGCAGTGCAAAAGCAAGACACGTTCGTGCAAGCCGACTCGCTGCTGCTGCACCTTGTTCTGCTTTCGGTGTTAATCCAAACCAGACTCTCGACGACCGCGACCCACTGCCGAGGCCTTCGTCACTATGTTGATTTGCGGCTGGTTGTTACATCACGTGGTTTGAGAGATAGAGCGATAGAGCAGCTGGTGAAGCCAAAACCATGAAGCAAAAAGGCGTTGCTATGCTATCGCGTGGCGGGAAAATTGGTCTCGGGTCGATTTTTTTCGCTTCGGCCTCGCAACGTGTTTTTGACGCGTTGCGCCACTGGCATGCAGCAGCCAATCGAACATTCGTATCATCTGCGGTGGCTGGGGAAACCATTCGTATAACACTGAATCGAATGGAAACCATTCGTATAACACGCACCTCGTGACCTTAAGTGCCTAGTTTTTTTTTTCTTCTAATACACTGCTTTTTAGTGTGATCGTGCACGTACTTGTGGACAAGCGGCAGCCCTGGTAATGACGAGTGTGCCATGCTCAAATCAGCCAATGGCTGTGACAAGTAATTTTTGAGCTAGTAGTGTAATTTGCTGAGGGAAGAAAGCAATTGTTAGCTTTGAATATTTATTGTGATTTACAGGCCGCGTTCTGCTCTATAATATTTGACTCAAGTATTCTCGGTAGCCTCGACTACCGATCAGCAGCATTTTCTTACCATGTTCAATAAATGTTGCAGAACCCCTTTAAGATTAAGATTGAAGGGGGGCTTCGCGGCAAAGGGAAATTTTCTTAGATAAATGCTTTCACGGCTCAGCATTTCTACATTGCAGTGAAACCATCTTTACAGGCAATGACGTGCGAACTACTATACATCTATTCGTTCGTTGCGAATACTTTGAAAATATTCGCTACTTTGAAAATATTCGATAGTTTGAATTCGAATTGAAGCGAATTTGAATACTCAAGTATTCATTCGAATATTCGCACAATCCTACCGAAAACATGTATGGCCACTCCAAAACACAATTTTTTGTGCTCCACAATCTGTTCCTAGAATTAAAACGTCGCTTCCTTCACTGCCCGTGGCAACTCGCACAATTGTCAGTCCGATTTATTGCCATTGTTTCCTCTTGCCAGTGTTGGCAGTCAACGCTGCTGCTGCCATAGTAATTGCTACGGTTAACATCGTTGTTTTCTATGCTATCAACAATCCTAACTGCAATGCGCAGGGGTCTGTGTACTTACCGCACCAGCAAGGCCCAAGAACTGGTCTTGGCGGGCATTCCAGACAGCCTCAGGGGAGAGCTGTGGATGCTTTACTCTGGGGCCATCCATGAGGTACAGCCAATTCTTGTTATAATTAATAAAGCTATAATAAAGTATCAATTATAACGAAGTTATTGAATAGTCATTACGGATAGATGGCATAATGAGGCATGTGCAAATATTTTAATGCTTTGACTATATGAATGAATAATATAGTATTCAAATTAGCTTTGACATGAGTTTCATTGTTCCGAATTAAGGCTTATCTTTAGTTAGGTTAAAAATGTATCGCATCGTAGATTTTAATAAAACATGTTTATTACATAGCAGACTTTATGGAATCAAAATTTTATATAGGAATTTTCATCTTTATCAAGTACTGCAGTGTTAACTCAGCCCTGCACTTTGCATGTGCGCTTTAAAAATGTTGTGCGCTTTTGGGATGCGATGCCTCGTAGTTCAACCTCGTTAATTAATTGCACACACTACAAACCCTTTATTCTCTGCCCCACATATTCAACGTATCCGACTTGTTTGACTCCCCTTCTTGTATCCTCATCTCCCACCTCCTGTATTTCCACGTGCACACACGTGCCTCCTCGCTGTTCGCTCAGCACTTGCACCATCTCGTTCCTCCGCCGTCAACCATGCACAGCCTCCGAGACCTGCACCCAACACACGCGCACTCCTTACTCCACTTCACCGATCACAACATGTTGTCATTGATAAGCCGCTCGTCTTGTTGCATGGATACTATCGTCGCTTCTCCAAACTTTCTGGCATGCCTGTGCTTCCACTGCCTCCAGTTGGAGACCCATCCTGGCTACTATAGGAGAGCAGTGTCCGAGAGCATGGGCAAGCGCAACGCCACCAGCGAAGAGATCGAGCGCGATCTACACCGCTCGCTGCCCGAGCACCCGGCCTTCCAGAGTTCGCAGGGCATCAATGCCCTGCGGAGGCTTTTGAACGCATATGCCTGGCGCAACCCCGCCATTGGTTACTGTCAGGTACGCACCACCGAAAAACATTTTTTTAAATGTGCGAGTTATTCAGGTTTATTATAGCATGTCGTGAAACGAAAAGTGGCGTAAAGAAGCAAAAAAAAGAGCAAATGTACAGTTGAACACCTTTCTAAGGGGCACGCACTAGGTAGTAGTTCTTGCTTCTTATACGAGGTGTCTCTTATAAACAGGGTACTACGTTGTTATAGGGGCGTGAAAAAAAAAAAGCAATTAAGTGGTCGCTGTGCGGGGCTAATAAAGAAAAAAAAACGATGTGTGTGCGCGTGCGACACGCGCTATAGTACATAGGCCAATGTTCGAGACAGCACAGCGGCCAAGGACAGACAATTCTCGGCTGTATATCTATTCATAGAACTAAGCGACGTCCTCCAGGCACTGGCATTCTTGTATTCCGGCTGGGAACCAGATGATGCGTGGGGTTTCTTGTTGAAGTTCCTGACTGATGTTTAGCAACCATGACGAGCGAGGCCTGCATTCTGGCTGGACAGTTAGCTCGGAGGTCTGGTGAGGTGCCACTGTCCTCACTGTCGTTCATGGTAATCCGTCGTGTTCCGTGGGTTGTGGCCCACTAGTGCTGATGCTGTTCCGGGTCCCCAGCATGACCTGGGTGTGGCCGAGACGAATGTGGTGGCCGAGCTACCGAGCGAGCTGCTGCAGCAGATATCTGTGCTGTGGCCAGGGCTGATGGGCATTAAAAACGTCAATCAGCCAGACGGGACATTGTCCTCGAGCGACTGGCATTGACGTCCCTCCGCTGCTTTTAACGCGTCGAGAGGCTTCTGATTTAAAAGACAATTAGTGCAGCTAGGACTGCATATATCCGATTAACCCTATTGTTACTCATTAATAGTTCAGCTATATGTTTGTGTGTGTGCACTCATGGCTGGGCTCAGTTCCTTGGTGAGTGGTCCTGGGCCCCAAACCCTGATATTATATCATATATGCATGCATTCTCTTGTCTACACCTACTTCAGCAGTGTGTATACATGACTGACAACGCAGCACAGTGCATCACTGCAAGGTGGTCATATGGTCTGACTGGTGCAGTTCTGTGTCAAAAAGAAGGTGCAGTCGCTCGATGGATTTTTCCCACTCCGAAAATTCAAACTTGTGGGATATTTCAGACTTCATAAACGCACCATCATGGTTCTGGCAGCACTAATGTATTTCAACTGCTGATTCCGGCCAACGGGTAAATGAGAGCATTGAAGCAGTTCTTCTTTGACGTCGCACACCGAGTTAGAGTAGTAGAGTGTACACAACCCCTTAGGCGGCAGTGGGTGTGTTTGTGTGCGCAACGCTTTTATGCCAGTTGTGTCAACTTGTGGTCAGAGGAGGGCAAGGTACATTGCTCGTTGAATGAATTCAACTATCTGCATAGGCAATGTCTTGACTTAAAACCTCAGTGTGGTGCTTAAAATTGTAGCTGGCCACATTATTAAAGGCGCTACAGTGTTTGGCGGGTCTTTTGATGTGTGCACTCCACAACTAAGAGTATTATATGTCTAAATGGCGCAATAGGAGCGCAAGGAACAGAATAGTCTCAAACCTCAATAATTCTTGCAATAAACCATCTATTGCAAGAATTGTCTCGCAACAGATGGCTTTAAGCATACACCTTTATAATGAATTTTTGGTTATAATGAACTTACTTTCATGTAAGGTGCAACTTTGTTGTAATGAGGTTTGAGTGAAGGCATTTGCCCAAAATCTGGTCTCAATGAACGACTATGCTTTTCCAGTGGATGACTGTAGTCTTGCTCCACTTTTATGTTTTGTTGCATGCAGCCCATGCTTTCAAGTGTTTGAAAAACTATTTTGAAAAATGTTAAAAAAATATTCATACATATGTTGGAGCCTTTTTGGTTGAGTTGTCAAAATTGTTTTTTGCATTTACAGCAAATTTCTCCATGGACTTGCTCACAATGTCAGTAAAAAAATAGATAAAACTTGACAGAAGTAAGTGATTAATAACACTGTTTATTGCAAGAGAGCTAGCATTAGGTTAAAATTTAGAGGCAGTCATCGTAACGTACAGGCATTCGATTTGTGCATGTTATGCAATTCGCAAGGTTTTACTGAATGGTCCTAACTTATCCTTTTCCCACTCCTGACACTGTTGCATTTGACAGGCAATGAACATCGTGGCTTCAGTGCTGCTACTGTACGCGTCAGAAGAGGAGGCCTTCTGGCTCCTGGTAGCCCTGTGCGAGCGGCTACTCCCCGACTACTACAACACCAAGGTGGTTGGCGCACTCATCGACCAAGGTGCGTCTGGATGCTCAGTGCATCGGCATTGTATGGTGCAACTGTGACGGATGTACAGTTGTAGGCAAATGTAACGCAAAGAAAAAATTACAGAGTGGAACAGCTTTTGTGTGCAATAGCTGAAAAAGGCAACCTCGCATTGGTAATTATGGGGTTGGAAAAAAATTGTGTGATGAAGACGGAATTGTGTGAGACGAAATCGGGCCAACGATTAGTGTACTGGCAAGAACAAAAGACATGGTTGATTCCTCCGTCATAGGAATCAGTAGAACATGGAAGTAATAGGTGCTTTTGCTGAAGTAGTTTTTCGTTGTGCATTGATGTAAGAGAGCTTGCGCAATGTCTCTTGGGGTTCGACAGGTATAGCACCACTTAACATGGGATGCATCCACATTGACGCTCAGCCATGCATCTCTATCCCGTTGACTTTCGTCCATCATTAATGATTTACCAAACCCTTGTGGTCATAGATGCATAGAGTAGCTGTAGTAGTTAACGATAAGAGCGGCACCAAAGAAAAGAAGCGTGACTGCTTGGGCACTGAACTTTGTGGGGACTGAGGCTGGCCTATCTCCATCGCACGGGCTTTTAGGAGCGAAGCTCTTTATGGCATCACCCGATCGTCCCTTTATCGTAGTAACCATCGGTGGCACATACCTGAGAGAGCGGTCCTTAGAATGTCCGTTGGATGGCGGTACTTGTATATGATAAATACATGATGAAAAAATGTGAGATGGTGGTAGTTGGAGTGTTCACTAAATAGACGGATGGATCGACAGACAGACAGACAGAGAGACACAGGCAGGCAGGCAGGCAGGCAGGCAGGCAGACAGAGGGGTGAATGCACGGATTAACAGACAGACAAAGGGATGATCACACAAACAGACACACGGATGGACTGACAAACGAACGGACGAATGGATCGACAAACGGACAGATAAACGTATAGACGGATGGACGCACCGACAGTCACACGGATGGATGAACTCACGGGCGGACGCACGGACAAACACATGGACGAACGGAAGCATGGACGGACTGACGAATGCTTCGCCCCACCAATCATCATTCACTCCATGACTATGCTGTGATTTTGCGAAAGTCTCACTTATTTTTCACCTGTTTCTGTCGTCCACATGACCTAACATGATTATTCCCCCCTCCGCGGTTGTCGGTGTGGCGAGAGCGGGAGTGACGTTAACCTGCCTCCCATAACCGGACGTCAATGGTGGCGCTCTGCTTCAGTCTCGCGAGATGTTTCGCGTGGGCTATGCGGGAGTGAGAGATCCTCTCTGTACAGCGAAGGGTGAGCACACGTTTTTTTCCATCTGTCGGCTTCCTTTGTTCTTGAAGCTCGCTTGGACTCGCCAACAGTGCCTTGCACACGCGGCGAATGCTTATCTTTTATTGCCTTATTCCGAACGCTAGGCCGAAGAGCGATGCAATGTGTTCGCACATGGTCTTACTACACCGAACCGTGCCTTGCAAAGCCATTGCGAGCGGAGTTTGCCTTTGCTCGAGCGATCAGGCACTGTCACTGATAGTGAGAACGTGCAACATAGTCGCTGAGGGCTCATTTTCTTCAGCGGCGTGTCATCGTGGACTCTTGCTTATATAGACATGCTCGCGGCACCCTTTGTGTTGTACTTTTGCCCATGGCATGGATAAGCCTCTCTTGCTTTCACTTTGCTTTTAGTAATGGGTGCTGTACTGCGTTTTTGGGGTTGCCGCAGTCAATGATGTGTTGTGAATTGTTTCAGAGCAGTACTGTGTACTTTCCGTGCTGCACTTGGTGCCTTGGCTGCCCAAACGCTTGTGTGCAGCGGCATTAGTCAGACGAGGCGACGGTAAGCACGGCCCTGCAGCTCTTAAGACCAAACCCACAGTAGGGGCCTACTCCTGCAGGATACGTGTACACGACAACTTGGGCTGAGGTCGCTTACTCCCGGCATGTTGGAATTATTGGACACCACTGCCGGACTAGAAGGAAAAGGAACATGCGTCCTGTCATCCCTTTGAAGAGCCACTATTATTCGCAGGGCGAGCCTATGTGAGGACTGTGGAGTTTAGCGAGGTGAAGCCGGCAGGCGTTGCAGAGATTTTTTCGTATGGATGAATGATATGAGCGATGCCGATGCTTGGGGCAAGGTTGCCGCCTGAGGGTGTATTAAGCCGTTGATGAAATTGCACTTGTCCTATTGGAATCATGCCAAATGAGATGGACGCTTAGGAATACCGCATTGAAGGGACTAAAGGCCATGATGCATCATTTCACTTTACCGAGAGCGCTGCGAGAGTACAGCGCTATATATAGAAGGTGTATTTTTAAAGCCTACAAAGTATGAGACCGTGACACGGTAGATAGCGTGTCCCGCACGTGTTGTAGTTGACCCTGAAATCATGGGTTCGACTCCCTGTTGATGGAACTTTTTTCATTGTCTTTTGATTGTGCATACTTTTTTTACATCATTTGCATGACGGGGATAAGTCACTAATGTCTTGGTGGAGCCCGGCATAAAACGTTGTCGTGTTACAATAAAATAATTTATCACCCATTTCACACCCGTAGGGAGTTTACTGTTAAACCATGCTGCAGGTTTGTGCTTTGTACATCCGGCGACCACTTATCTTGACATCGGAACAAGGGCCATGGAGACGGGGCATCTGCACATTCATGTTGCCCCGCGAGTAGCATGCCAGCTCGCGACTGATTTCAGTTTCGCTCGCTTGCATTGTTACTCATTTAGGAAAACATTTAAATGAAAATTATCTTTGAGGGAAACACTTTGATTGTTCAGTGTCTTTTTTTAATGTTCTATTACGAGTATATTTTTCTTGGAGAACTGAACTACACGTTTGCGGCTGCACACTGACATCACGAACGCCATGCTTTCTTGAGAAACGATTGGGCTGAAGGGTGGGGCTGTCTTAAAAAAATGGTAAGAAAGGGAAAGCATTCTTGAGGTTGAGAGGTGCACTAGTTGGCGACTGATAAATCTGCGCGTGCGCATGTGTGCAGCGCCACCTGCCATTCTGGCATATGTGTAGGAGTTTTGCGTTCGTGAGAGATAAGTGCTCAGGCATTCACGCCTACAGCAGTTATCTCTCGCATACCTTTCCCGTGGCTCCGTGCCTGCGCGTGTGCAGATGTTTTTGTGTTGCCACGCGTTCTTTTTCGGGTGATGGTCGACGTGTTCTCTTCGGTGTTTTTTTACAGTTAAGCTGATAGGGGTGCCATGCGCCACATGGATCGGCCGAATGCCACTATTGTGGGCAGAAGGCGCTATTGTTTAAACTATCAAGTGAAAAAGAGAGGTTATGAATGAAAGATAGAAAATGCAAGAAAAGAAACAGAAGTGGAAGAGAAAATAGCGAGAAATAAAGAGAATAAATACATAAAAACAAAACAGACAGGAAAAGAAAGCGATAGAAGAAAAAGAAGTAAAAGGAATACGGACATAATGAGAAAAACATACGAAGAGAAAGTAAGATATAGAAGGAAAGAGACACGAAAAAAGTAGGACAGTGCTCAAAATGGAATTAAAGCAGGGGAAGTAAAAGAATGAAACAAAAAAGAGATAGGCAAAAACACCGAGCAAGACAAAAAAAAAATTAAGAGAAACAGAGATAAAATCTGAGAGAAAAAGGGAAAAAAAGCGAAATGAAGGTGGAAAAATCGAGAAAGCGGAGAAAAATAGGCGGGGAAAGAAAGAACTAAATACAAAGAAAGATAAAGAAATACAAGAAACAGAGAAAAAAGGAATTACGGAGAAAAAATTGAAGGGCAAGAAAGTCCACCCAGCTTCTATCAGGCTTGGCACCACTACTGCGAATCTGCCACAAATGTTTTCTTCTACGAGGTATTCAGTATTGTTTCTTAGCTGGACAGCTGTCACATCCGAAGCCGTTTGTCCTCTCTCGGTGCGGACGTTGTCATGGGTGATTTCAGGGACAGCACTGGAAAGGCGAACATGTCCACGGTTACTGATGTGCAAAAAACAATTTGGGGTGACTCAAGTGAACAAGTGTGGGTTATCCGAGGAGCACACAAATAATTCTGTACATGCCAAAAACTTATGCACTCTAATGAGGGATGACAGCATTTTCACTGAAAATTGAAAATGAAGTGAGAAATACCACAACTACCAAATTCTTATTGCAGACTATTTACTATTTACTGTCATGTAAAAATTGAGCAAGTGTCGATTCTAGGCTGTGTCATGGCTCACTGAAGCACACTGTATGTTTTTGAATAGCTCTCGCCCACAGCACAAAGTGAATATATGTGTACCTAATATATAATGTAGTAATATATATGAGTGAGCTGCTTATTTTCGGTTATTAGCTAATTATTTTTGTAAACAACTATTGTAACAAGCACCTGTGTACATTAAAAAAACCTCCACTGTTTTAGCACTATGCAATGATAGTGCTAAATCAGCAGCGATGGCGTAGTGGTTAGAGCATCCGCCTCGCATGCAAAGGTCCGTGGTTCAAATCCCGGTGCCGCGCAGTTTCCAACCAAATAAAAAATCCGCATGGTGATGGAACTGTATTACGAGGCCTGGGGTGCGGCCTCACCGGTAACCACCGCCGGGAACGCACTCCCTCACCAGAGAAGGATTGGCCACCCTGGTGCAGTATCTGGCCACTACCTCCCACATGCAAACGTCAAATAACTCACGGCCCTCAGTCCCCAGCAGCTGCGAAGCAACTGACCACGGCGGCGGTCAGATCTGCAACGCAGCAGAGGGTGCTAAGAATCTCTGGATCCGGACAGGCCGCCATTGGAACCTGAACTTGGCAACGTTTAACGCTAGAACCTTATCTAATGAGGGAAGTCTAGCTGTACTATTCGAGGAGCTAGAGGGTGTTAAATGGGATATATTAGGGCTCAGTGAGGTTAGGAGGACAGATGAGGCCTATACTGTGCTACAGAATGGGCACTTCCTTTGCTATCGGGGCTTGGCTGACAGAAGAGAACTGGGAGTGGGGTTCCT